TTATAATACGTTCTTAATATTTCTAGTATTCCTTGAGGTTTCTTCTTCGAGTTCAACGTATAGTTCAGTATCCACATCAGAAAAGCGAACTGTCTCATTCAACGAGACGATTGTGTCTCCTGGTAACGTTTATGAGCTTGGATTGTTGCCAACTGATCTGAATTGGTATCTCGGGATATGGCACAAGGAAGATATTTTTAAACAATTTATATGGGTCGCCAACAGAGATAAGCCCTTCTCCATATCAACCGGAACACTCAAATTCTCCGAAAACAACCTCGTTCTTTCAGATAAGGATAACTCTCATGTCTGGTCGGCCAATATGAACAGAGGAGGCGTGAGGTCTCCAATGGTGGCAGAGCTTCTTGACAACGGCAACTTCGTGGTGAAGGATTCCAATAATGATGAAGTTTTGTGGCAGACCTTCGATTATCCCACGGATACTTTATTACCGGAGATGAAACTGGGAAGGGATAAGAAAACAGGAATCAACAAAGTCCTTACATCATGGCATCCAGATGATCCGTCAAGAATTGGTTACTCCTTGCAAGTCAAAAACCAAGCGGGGCTCTTTGAGCTTTCTGTATGTGGGCAAGACACTTCAAAGTGCTTCTACCGGAGCGATCCGTGGGATGGAAGACGCTTTGGTGACATACCGCTTGATTTTTCACTTAACTACGTAAGCCCAAATTGGACGAGGAACGTTGAAGACTCCAACTTCACGTTCCTAATGACCGGCCAAAACAACAACTCGATATTGACAATGGATGAATATATACCTCAGATATTAACCTGGGAACCAGAAAGAATGATGTGGAGCTTGTCTTGGCATCCTTCAGATTTTTACAGTGAGTATAAGATATGTGGGCCAAATAGTTACTCTTCGAGAACGACTACGTTTTCAGTATGTACTTGTATTAAAGGATTCGATCCAGCTTTCCATGAGAACTGGTCGTTGAGGGATTGGCGAGGTGGGTGTGAGAGGACGACGCAACTTAACTGTACCGGAGATCATTTTTTACAGTTAAAGAACATGAAGTTGCCCGATACTAAAGATGTAACCGTGGATATGGTAATTGGAAAGAAAAATTGCGAGAAGCGGTGTCTTCGGGATTGTGATTGTACAGCGTACGCTTATGTCACTATCCTTAAAGGACATGCAGGTTGTGTCATGTGGACCGGAGCACTCAACGACTTCCAAAACTACAGTGTCGGCGGTCGAGACCTGTATGTCAAAGTGGCTGCTGCTATAGATCACGGTGAGTGCATCAATTAAACGTTTATTATCTTTGGGCTAATCCTGGCCCATTAGTATAAAACCCAAAATATATGTTTACTTTAGGCCCAAACCAATTTATGAGAGGGTTGTGGATATTATTATTATTAAATCATATAGTAATCTAGTTATGAAATTACCTAATTGATCATGGGAAATACAAAACTATTATATTGACAAACTTCGATTAATTTTTTTCATTTGTATTTTTATTAGGGGATGAGACGAATCAGACGATTACGACCAAAAATACAAAAAATAAGGGTATGGGCCGCACGTTGGAGGTTACAGTCATCATTATTATCGGAGTCGTGGTAGTGGCACTGGCTACATTCGCCACCTACTACTATTGGAAACAGCACAATCGTCGAACCATAATAACTCATGGTAAATATATACCGATACGTAACACTATAGTTTTAGTTTTTATCTTCTTTTTTTCTAACTTATTTTTTTTAATGCTTATTAGGAGGACCAAGCAAGACAATGATTATGAACGAGATAGCCCGACAAACCAGATGTGAATTCATGAATTTGGTACATGTTGCTGAAGCAACAAATGATTTCTCTGAAGCCAATAAGCTTGGAGAAGGTGGTTTCGGTGTGGTTTACAAGGTTAAGAATTTTACAATCTTTCATTATTGATAACTAGTAGTCTAGTACGTACTTATAATACAACTATCAATAAATCTGACTACATTATGTGATAATAGGGAACACTGCCTAACGGAAATACGGTGGCGGTGAAAAGATTGGCAATAACTTCATCACAGGGTTTTAATGAATTTAAGAATGAAGTTCAAACAATCTCAAGTGTGTTGCATATAAATCTTGTGCGACTGCATGGTTATTGCTGGGAAGATAGAGAACAACTCTTAATCTACGAATACATGGAAAACTCGAGCCTCAATTACTATATTTTCGGTTAGTATTCTTTTTTTATTGTAAATTTAATCTTTTTGAAATGAATTAATTTAAAATACCCTATTTACAAGCCGTCAAAAAAAAAAAAATGATATTTGAAAACTATCCTTGTTTTTTCGTTTGTTTGAAAACTGACTTTTCATATCTTTAATAAAATTTAAAAATTTGTTGAAAATATAAACTTGTATATAAAAATTAACAATTTTGGATAACCATGAGCTATTTAGTTATATAAATTTTTAATAAACATTTGAATAGGCCCAGCTCAAAAACAATATCTTATTCTATACATTCAAAAACAAACTTAGAATTTGGGCCTTATTTAGAAACTGGGCCTGAATTTTGTTTCTATTGTTGAATCAAATAAATTAACTTAATACATGTTTTAATGATGGATCGGTAGATGAAACCCAAAGTTCATTGCTAAACTGGGAGAAAAGATTTTGCATTATCAAGGGTATTGTTCAAGGGTTATCCTATCTGCACAATTACGCAACACCTTCCATTATTCATAGAGATCTAAAGCCAAGTAACATATTACTTGGTAAAGATATGATCCCAAAAATATCAGATTTTGGGATGGCCAAACTTTTGGAAAATGACGAGATACAATCTACGACGGGTAAGGCTGTTGGAACGCGGTACGTAATCAAAATTACATCACAATGGTTTTAAAGATTTTGTCATAAATAATATTTTTAAAAATTCATAACACTCATGAATTTTGATTTTTTGTATTTGCACTACATAGAGGTTACATGTCTGAAGAATACGCGTTACATGGAAAATTGTCGGAAAGATCAGATATATTCAGCTTTGGGGTCACGCTTCTTGAAATTGTTACTGGAAAACGCAATATTGAGTATTGCAATTATTATCGCGGTGATAGTCTTCTTGACTACGTAAATTCTCAACCTAATTAATTTTATATGTTTTCATAAAAAGGTTACAAAAACTGAAAATGTTTTATTAATTTATTTTGTGAAAGGTATGGAGGCACTTTGATGAGGGGAACATTTTACATGTTGTTGATCCGAACTTTGTAGACTCTTCATTGGTAGAAGAGGAGTTATGGAGAACTATACAAGTGGGTCTACTGTGCGTACAAAATGATGAAGACGACAGACCAAGCACAGAATCCGTCGCTTTAATGCTGTCAACCTCGAAAATGGAAATACCTCTACCAAAGAAACCTAATTACTTCTACGCTAGATTAATTCGTGGTGAGATTGCCTCCTCATCGTCGGTCACTGAGTCTACATCCATAAATCAAATTACCTTATCGGCCATCAAAAGTCGGTGATGTGATGTAAAAGATTATTCTCTATTTATATTGAGTATGTCAAGTTTCTAAGAGAATTTATAATGTACCACAAGTATTGTTCCAAATTTTATAATATATAGCATGAGAAAATATTATGTATGTGATGCATAGATTCTATTTTATAGCTTAAATAGTTTAAAACAATAATAGAGAAATGTCGAGCTTTGAAACAAACAAAAATATCTAGAATTTTAATTCAGAAAATCATGTAACATCAGTGAGTGTTGTTCTTTCCACGGAAGAAGCAGATATTGATGCATGACTGCATGAGATATATACTAAACGCTGTCCAAAAGGTTTTAGGCCCCTCGTCATCCATTCTCCGGTAACTCTGTTTAGGCCACTTGACTCTTGATCAGTGATCCCAAGGTACTAGTTTCTGAATTTGTTTGAACAACCAGTTGTCTTAAGAAAGACATAAACTCATGTTTTAATAAAGAGCCTATACCAACTCTAGCTATAGAATGACAATTCCACGCGTCCAATGATACAAGAGCTAGAGATGAATATATATATATATATATATATATATATGCACTTTTACTTTATCTCACAATCAATATCATCAGAAGGAGCTTTCAATTCTTTAAGCTTCGAGGAAGAAAAAAAAAACATTTTGTGAGTCCACAAAAACCAAAACGAAAAGAGTATGAACAACACTCATGTATGCCTCTCACCAGTCCCCCACCATCGGTGAATCCTTTTCAGAAGAAAAGGCAAAACACAAGCATACACCATAATGTGAATGTCCTCTCTATCTTGACGCAAGCACACAAGTAAGCTTGCTTGCTTTTGGACGCATTCAAATCTCTAAGAGGGCTATAAAAGTATATATTATCGGACCTACATAAACAAGGTTATCAAATGAGGTGAGTACAGGTTTTGACTGTATTATTGGCCAACATCCATCTGCATCACCACCACTAACAAGCTTCGACCGTACGTCTAGTGAGGTTTATGGCAAAATTTGACAAGTCAACAAAATTAAAAAAAATGGGATAAGTTGCAAAATAGTCAGTTTTTTCAAACATAATTATAAAACTAGAACATTCACTATTTACAATTAGCAAAATATCCAATTTTCACTATTTGCTATTATTTGCAATGTTATTTATGAGTATACTACCGAAGTTATATTTGATATTTTAAATAAAAAGAAATACATAATGTGATTCTTATAACACATTTAATTTTAACGTACAGATGTACAAAAATATACATTTACAGTCATGCAAAATATACATTATATTAGCTGATTTAAAATGTGTATATTTCTATAAAAAAAAAAGCTAACCTTTAATACTTTTACTAAAAAACAGAGATTCTTCTACCAGAAAAGCCTTAAAATATATATTTCTTAAAAACGAATCTCTAAGAAAATCAAAAGAAAACAAATGTATACCCACATGTTAAGTGAGTCTTTTGTTTACTAATTCTTTCTAAAACTGCTTTTACAAGAAGAGTGACCCACACGTTAAGTCAGTCTTTGTTTACTAATTCTTTTCTTGTTTCTGTTTGACGCATGATCTTTGATTCTTTTCGATAAGTAAAATAAACCTCATGAACAAGTCATTGGAGCCCACTTTAACTCTATTTTTCTTTGTTCTTTCTTGTTTGTTATTATATTACTTAGAAACTTCCACGTTGTAACAAAGGAAGTATCCAAGCTACTTCCTTGCGTCCATTAGTCTCCACTCCGGTTCCCACTTCCCCACCAATTATAAATTCAGAGTGTTTGGGTTTACTCAAAAACACAAAAACATCCAAAACAAGATGAGCTCCTCTGACTCTTCTTCCGCGGAATCCCGTCTAGCCACGGCTAAGACGGTTCTCACCACCGCGGCTTCGGTGGCTGCAACCGCAATGCTGGCTCGATCTTTACTCCAAGATTATTTGCCTGACGAGGTGCACGACTATATTTCCTATGGATTCCGTTCCATCTTTGGTTACTTCTCCTCCCAAATGACAATAATCATCGAAGAATTTGAAGGTTTTGCTCACAATGAAGTCTTTGAGGCTGCAGAGGCCTATCTAGCCACCAAGATCTCTCCTTCTAATAAAAGAATCAAAGTGAGTAAACACGAGAAAGAAAACAACTACAATGTCACCGTGGAGCGTGACGAAGAAGTTGTTGACACCTACAATGGCGTCAAATTCCAGTGGATCCTCCATTGTCGCCATGTTGAGTCCAAGAACTTCCACAACCCACGGGATCTAAACTCGACAATGAGATCTGAGGTCCGATCATTCGAGCTCAACTTCCACAAGAAATTCAAAGACATAGCTCTTGAATCTTACTTGCCATTCATGGTGAAAAGAGCAACGTTAATGAAGCAAGAGAAGAAAACACTCAAGATCTTCACTCTCTCCCCAGAAAACATGTATGGGAACTACTCTGACGCGTGGACCTCTGTTTCTCTTGACCATCCTTCTACCTTCAAAACTCTAGCAATGGATGCAGATGTCAAGACAAGTGTGATGGAAGATCTAGACAAATTCGTAAAGCGAAGAGACTTCTATAAAAGGGTTGGTAAAGCTTGGAAGAGAGGTTACTTGCTGTACGGTCCACCGGGCACAGGGAAGTCAAGCTTGATCGCAGCCATGGCCAATCATCTCAACTTTGATATTTACGACCTAGAGTTGACCGCGGTTAACAACAATTCTGAGCTCCGGCGATTATTGATTGCCACTGCTAATCGTTCGATTCTTATTGTAGAAGATATCGATTGTTCACTAGAATTGAAAGATAGGACTAGTGATGAACCTCCTCGGGAATCTGACGATGTAGAAGATCCACGGTATAAAAAAGTGACACTCTCTGGACTGTTGAATTTCATAGATGGTCTATGGTCAAGCTGCGGTGACGAAAGGATCATAATATTCACAACAAATTACAAAGACAAACTCGACGCGGCCTTGTTGAGGCCAGGACGTATGGATATGCACATCCACATGTCGTATTGCACACCGAGTACCTTCAAAGCTCTTGCTTCAAACTATCTAGAGATCAAAGAGCACCGCCTTTTCAGCAAGATCGAGGAAGGTATTGAGGCGACAGAGGTTACTCCAGCAGAGGTGGCTGAACAGCTTATGAGGAATGACTCTGTTGATAAGGTTCTTGAGGGTTTAGTTGAGTTCTTGAAAGTCAAGAAGATCGAAAACGAACAAGATAAGGCCAAAAAGGAGAAGCAGGAGTTGGAGAACAAGGAAAAGACCAACAAGGGAAAAGATTCGGGAGTCAAGAAAAGTACCGAAGACGTTGAGGAACAGCTAGTGAGGAATGACCGTGTTGATAAGATTCTTGAGGGTTTGGTCGAGTTGTTAAAAGTCAAGAAGATCGACAACGACCAAGATAAAAGCCAAACATGAGGAGGTGAGCAACATTAACTTGTGAGATTTGGAAGAGAATTAACGAGAGATCAATACCTAAATCACTAAATCGCCAACGACCGTAGTTACTGTCGCAACCTCCAGATTCCTATAATCCTATATAATCTAGTCCTAAGATTTCGAGATTCGATCCGATTATAGAGAATTTAGAAAGTAAGTCAAATTCAGAGCATAAACTCCTAAAGATCAAGCGATTACGCAAGTAAAACATAAATAAGAGAACCGATCTGATATAATCCAGAGACCAAAAAATAGAACAAGGGAAATTTGAAGAGATCAGTTAGAATACCTCTGAATCCGAGTGGTAGCTGTAAAGAGAATGGAGAAGTAAAGAGCACGTGTATTTATACAAAACGAAGCGTTTCGCTTGTTTTTCCTCTGCTATGTTTTGGTTTTTTAAAAAAAAACATTTGTAGCACAATTTCTTTTTAGCGACTAAAAAATGTTTGATTTTTAACTTTCCGAATCTTAATTTATTCCCATATAACCTCATGATTTTTATTACTACTAGGGATTAATCCGGGCTACGCCCTATATATTTTACAATTGATATTTTTAGTTAGTTAAATATATCAAAAAATCATGTGATATAATATTTAAAATTTTTTGGGATGTGTTTTTAGTCAAGTGGTTAAGTCTATTTGACTCCGCCTTCCCCACCGGAGTTCGACTCCACTAAGTCGCGTTACCCCGCGTAGTAGGGATCGGGCTTTGTCGATCCAAAGTTGTCAAAAAAAAAAATAATAATAATAATAATAATATTTAAAATTTTAATTTTAAAAAACTATATGGTACTATTAATGGTTTAAATTTGTCTATCTATGATTATTTCTTTGTAATTTATTTATTTTTTAATTTTTTTTAAAAAATCATTTACTATTAATCTATATAATAGTTTACACATAATTTATCTATTTAATGTTTTACATCCTTAACAAAGTAATTAAGTAAAACAACTTTTCAAATATATTATTACTAACTTATAAGTTTATAACGCATGATCGTTCTCAATACCCCACAATAATAGTAATTTATTAGCTAGGAGACGTAGAAGCTTTTCTGATAACAAATTACCAAACTCATAACTTAAAAGTCGAAAATCATATGCTACTAAATACTAATTATATGGCAGGAAAATTCCTCAAGCAATTATATATAATAATTTGAATCGTCAAGGACACCAATACTCTAATGATTTTGATTATTTGTTTAGCCAATAAAGCATAGAACATCAATTCTGATTGTCTGTTTTCTACGATTATAACCTTGTTTACTTTTTCATCAGATTCATCACGCCAATTTGTTCTTTCTCAACTATGCTTGGACCTTTACCTTTCATTACAGTTGCATAGTAAATTTGCTCAGGGTCTCTTTATCTAGACATGACAATTTTAACTTTGAAAACAACAAAACCATGAAATAATTTGGCCGGGGTTTACATTTTAAATGTAAAATATTAGAATTTGGAGAAACAGTATAACTGTAAGTGACTATGATTCGTTACGGTTTTGGCCGTGGCTGGTAGCACCCGAGTATAGTCATTTACGCTCATCATCATCATCATCATCACCACAACCATCATTTCTCTTAGCTTCGATCACCACCGCAAGAATTGTTAACATTCAACCTAACACTAAAAGCATATATAAGTTAGTCTGAGAATCACTAATGGTATAAATGTGAAGTGATTATAAGCGTGGGTATATCTTAAGATTGAGTAAATTTGGGAAACAAAATATAAATTGACGATCTGCTTACTTTAGGGAGTGAAAGTATAGTATATGACTTAATGTAGTAGATATATATATACTCTCATCCTGCAAGACCAGGCAGTTACCAAAGTATCTAATGACGGAAGTCTAAGTTGAGCCCTATACCTTTGAGAACATGAAAAATATAGAACTGATCAGATTTGACCAATCATCGAGTTCCTGCACCTTGAGGATTTGGGAAAAAAGTGTAGTCTCACAATATTGATGTTGATCATCTTCGCTAGGATAAATATAATAGTTTCTCGTGTCAGATTTCCTACTACCATTAAAAATTGTAAGCAAAAAATTTGAAATTCGTAAAATCACTACACTTGACTTTCGTTGAGAGTTGCTATAGCTGACACACTTGACACTACACAGATTTCGTGATAAGCCATTACAAAGATCTATAACTCCTAAAGCGTTGAGTCAACATGAGTCACACCAAATGCAACTCTTTATCCATTAGATGTGAAAAAACATGGATTAGAGAAACTCTTAGTTTAGACTAAACGTAAACAGTTTTTAAAAAAAAGAAGGGTAAACATATAAACCATGGAGCTTTCGTTTTGTGGTGGAAATTTACGTTTTTGGTCAAAAACTGTAAATATTTTTTGCGGAAAAATTATGGACTTACGTCTTTGGTGGAAAAATTGCAGATTTACGTCTTTGGCGGAAAAATGGTGTATTCACATTTTTGGCGGGAAAAATAAAAAAATTCACATTTTTGGCGGAAAAATGATGGATTTATGATGATGATAGCATCATGGTTATATTCAACCCTAGATAATAATTATGGTTTTTTTTGTTTTAGTTTTGTTTAGACTCAAATTGATATCGGTTTAAAGATTTGAGTTGGTTTGATTCAATTTAACAAAAAATGATAGGTAAAATGAGTAAACTATTGAATCCATTGACTCATTACAACCTAACTCATTTCATCCATCCACCCATTTAATCCAATAACTCATTTAATTTGATCCATCAACTCATTTGAGTAAAAATTATCAACTCATTAAAATTTATGGGTTGAGTTGAGTTTAGATGATCCATGAATCTTCACCCATTTTGACACTCCTAAACTACTACTATATACTATTAGTTTTTTCGTTTTATTTTAATAGTTTAGTGATTATTATCACTACATACATTCTTCAAAAATAAGATAAAGTCGATGTTTTTTCCAAAGGGGAAGAAGACACAGTTGAGCACAATAAAAATGACTAAGACATGAGCTTAGCTACTTTTAAAATGTAATTATGTGAAAAACAATTTTATTGATTTACATAAATACAAAACGGTCAAATATTACAAAATAAGCAATAGAGTGTCATATACGGTTTTAATTTTTTTGTCTAAAGTGTCAATACCACAAACTCTTAAATATAGTTACTATTTTGTTTATTAAGACTTAGCAATAAAAGGAACAGATGCAATGATGAAATATATACGTTTTATTAGGACTTGGCGTATCATTATTAAGACTTGGCGTATCATTATTAAGACTTGGCGTATCATCCCTATAATTATGGCAAGCGCATTCAAATGGTTTAGGTAGATTGGGAGCTTTATAATGAATGGTTGATTTTGAAAGGCAATCGTTTCCATCGCGGCAATGGTTGCCAGTGTACTCCTTCGCGATTCTACAGATCTTGCGAGCTTCCACATCTAATACTTTATATCAACCATAGAAAAAAAATTTTAGATCAAAATTTTGTACACAAACAAATGGTAACACAAAAAAATTATTGTTAATTAAGCCTTTCACAGTTTTTATTTTCTCCTTCTTTTCCTTTTTATAACCAAACCATTTTTATGATTAGTACTATAATCAATACATTTAAAATTTATAAGAAACCAATCCAAAATAAAAGAAATCATTATTTATATATTACCTTGAATGTGAGTGAAAACGAATATTGATACGAATATATAAGAAACCGTGAACAAAGTAACATACTTCATAATTGTTGTAACAATTCTGTTTTCCCTTTTGTTGTCAACATTCAAAATAAATATAAGCGAACTCCCTAAATTTAATCTATATCCACACAAAAATGAGGATAAAAAGAAAGGCTAAAACCAATTGAACAACAAAATTAGTCGTTTATTTTTAGAAATTCTTACAAAAATTCCTTTTTTTTTGTTTTAATGCTAATTATGAATATTCAAGTTCATAATTGACCAGATCAAAATAAATACAAAGAAATGAATTGAACAAAACAAAAAAGTTTGTGGCTAAACAAAGAAATGATTTCGAGAGACTTAAATATTAGAAACCACCTTCGCCGTCTCTTTTTATTGGAGATGGGATGCACAACCTCACTGAAACTCGATTCGAATCAATATTAAACTTATTTAACAGCTGAGAAAGCCCATGAAACTCGACCCAAGATATAGTCACCGACATACAAGAAAAAGGGAAAATCATCAACTAAACTACAAGAAAAAAGGAAAGTTGTCGACTACGGACAAAAGAGGGAAAAAAAAAACAATCAAAGTAAACATACTTAGCATGCATATAAGTAGAAGAACAATTTATTGAAATCAGATAGAAAAACTCACAGACGAAACCTAAGAGATTGATTGCTACAAACTCTCCGACTTTTAATTTATTAGTTCGTATATATTCTGTTTTATTGAGATAGTCGACCGAGCTCACATACCAATATAATTTAAACTATGATTGGCTACGTATGTAGTTTTTTACGAGGCACGCCTATAAACTAAATAAAAGCACATTTCGTCTGTTCTGTCTGGATGACTTAACTTTTCTTTATAATCTACGAGCTTAAACTTTATTATAGGAAATTGTTTGAATCCCCTAATTGATTTTGACTATCTCATACTTTGTTAAAATCCATGTTCAATAATTGCCATTGTCTGTGGAAAAATAAACCGTGCAAGTTCGACGATGATAGAAACTATAAACCCGATGTATTATTTAGTTCTACTAATTTTTAATGTTATTTATAGTTTTTTATCTAAAAAATTAAAATTATATACTTTTGAAAATTAAATGGTTTTTTTATCGGATTTTAATGAACAATGTACCGAATTATGGATACTGACAACATGTCGTATGTTAGTTGGTATATGTGGATATGCAATACATTTAATTGTTGTAGTTTACTATACATCAATAAAAATTGAGATGTATAACTAAGTTGTGGCCTATAGTTGATGTAGCTATCTATCATTTTCCCTATACTAAACAAAGAATAGATATTGTATGTAAATTAATTTTGTTTATGTGGCATTTTCGTAGTTTTTCATACTTCCTCAAAAAAAAAATTGAGGTCTGAATTGTTGTCTATAGAGTGAAACCTTTATAAATTTACTCGTAAATTCTCTGGTCATGAATCGGGTAGTGTTAAAATTAACAAATTTCGATAACATAATAAGATAATTGTTGTTATTGGATCCCGCACCCTAGATCATTTTTAGAGAAGGCGAGCCAACAACTTACAAAACAAAGAGGCCCATATTGCACAAAGGAGGTGGTCAAATCTTGACATTAGTGTGATTCAATTTATGAATTAATTATTATGGTCATAGGATTAAATTTGTCATTCAAGTTTATGAATTGATTATGAGAGTTATTTTGTAAGTTCATTCTGAAATTAATAGCCAAATAAAGACATCCTTGGATGAAAGTGAAGACTCCAAGAAAGGAGACTCCATCTTCTACTTTTTTCTCCACAATTTTAGACATAAACATTGTTTTTTTTCCAATAATTATACTATATACTATTTCTTTTCTTACACATCGAATTCTTGCTGCAAAGCTAATCCTATATTATCCTATCTCTACATTTTGCTTACATTTTCATGCTATTTACTATATGCAATTTGTCTTGTATTTTGATCTTGAGAGCTTTAGCCTACGAATAATATAAATACTTGAGTGTGTGAATCCGACATTCACAATAATCTTTTTTTTTGAGAAATTCTCTAAAATAGCACTAAAACAAGTTTTATGGACAAATATAACACACATTCAATAAACTTCCAAAAATAGCATTAGTTGACTCACTATTAAGTTTTTGTTTCAATAGTATTATCACTAGTTTATTTTTTCCAATAATACCATAATTTTCATATTATAACTATTCAACCAAAATAAATTCTAAATATTATATTTGGATTCTCTATTTATAATTTAGGATATATATTTCCACCATTTAAAAGAGATATTGATTTATTTTAATATTGAATTTGTGTTATTATGTTTGGCAGGGCCGACCCATGGGTAAAGCCCAACAAGCCAATGCTTTAGGCATCAAAGTTTATAAATAATTTTAAGGGCATCAATTTTTGAAGTGTCCAGTAGTATAGTGGTTAAGTAGCTTTTGTGTAACCTTTGTAACCAAGGTTCGAGCCACTTGTTCCCATTTTGCAAAAACGAATTTTTCTTTTTTTTTTTTCCTAAAAAAATTTAATCGATTTGAATTTCTTAACTTCAGTTACCTTTTATGTTATTATTATTTTTATATTAGACTGATTATCATTAAATTATTAACTAAACAATTTAATTTGTTTTTAAAACCTAATTTGCTAAGTGACGACGATTTGTGTTCCTCTTCTCCGATCACCACCAAAAAGTCCAAAACTCTATCAAATTCTGGCAACCTCTTCTCCTCCTTAATCTTTGAAACCAGTTTTTTCTTGTATCTTTAATCTCTCCTAAGTGCTGAATTTCTTCTTATTTCATGTATGTCTTCTTCTATTTTTCTTTTTTTCTTTCTTATCAAGTTTGTCAACCATCTCTGTTTTTTTTTCTCTTAGCACTTAGTTAGAAATCAGAAAAATTAATATACGATGGGTTCGTTCAAAAATTATTTTGGTTTTAACACTTTTCCTTTTTTATTTTTTTCATGTTAACATTAAGTTTTAGAGAATTATGTTGTTTTGTTATGCGGAAAAAAAATATGGGGCATCAATTTTTTAATTTGCTTTAGGCATCAAATAATTTTGGGCCGGCACTGATGTTTGGGTTCCTTATTTCTAATGTAGGATATATATTTCTACCATTTAAAAGAGATATTGATTCATTTTAATATTGAATTTGTGTTATTATGTTTGGGTTCCTTATTTCTAATGTAGGATATATATTTCTACCATTTAAAAGAGATTTTGATTCATTTTATATTAGTTTGTGGTATTATATTTGGGTTCCCTATTTCTAATTTAGGGTATATATTTCTACTATTTAATTTTCTTTTATTTAATTTAATATTAAATTAGTGTTTTCTCTCATTTTCGATTTAGTTAAGTTTAGAATGCTATTTTTGGAATTTTAGAAATGTGGTGCTAATTTTGGAAAATGAACTTTTTTGTGCTATTTTTGTCAATGGCCCTTCTTTTTTTGTTTTTATAATTCTTATGTAATTATATGGTTCCAATAATATCATAATTTAATAATCATAGAAATTTACATATGTATATATATATATACACATATTTACATATATAAGATAATAGATAATATATGGGTTTTTCTAATATAAAATGAATTTTCGTTAGCTCTAACTTTTATTGTATAAAAAATATTTATATTGTGTTTTAAACTATCATATTGTAGTATCATTTATAACTTCTTCATAAAAATAGATAATTTATCTTGTAAGTTTTCAATTTTTGAATATGTATCCATTTTATTTTATTAGTCTTAGAGAGTGTTAAAATACGATAGCAGAGGTCATTAATCATAAATTTGAAAATGTATATCAATTGAATAGTAAATTCATTTATAAGATTTTTTTATTTATTGTCAAATGAGTTTTTTCTAAATATAAAATTTTAAATCCAAAACTATAAAATTTATAACATCCAAATCATTAATTTTAGGTAGAGCAAGTTGTTTACACTCATATTTTTGAATGTTAACAATTACACCTAGATTTTCTTGGGAGTTTCGGATCCGACTTTGACAAGCGTTGTATCCGTTGGCTTCTATTCCATGTCGATTTGAAAGAATAGTTATGTCCTCCCGTTTGGCAGGTTTATGTCCGGCGTTTGCCGGTGGAATTTCTGGTTTGTAACCGGTGAATGTCCTCCTACACAATGGTATAGAGGTTTCACTTTAGTTTTTGATCTTGGAATCCATGAAGTAACAACTTTGCTTAAAAGATTTGGAGTTTTCAGATATCAAATTAGAAGTAAAGGAATCAATAACAACAATAGTAATCACAATCTTACCAAAAAAAAAACAATAGTAATCACAAAATAATATATTTAAATAAAAAATAATAAAAAAATTTAAAAAAATTTGGTTTAGTTTCCAAAAAATTAAACTCACTTTCTCTCTCTTATTAATTGTGGACGAAAATTTAAAAAAAAATTCTAAAAAGTTGTTAACCAATGAGAATTGAAAAACTAAGATTTGATATCCAACTATAATTTTATCTAAACCAATCCTAATAAACTATTCTATATCAAAAAAATAAAAAATAATACCATTTTAATTCAAAATTAAAAACACTATAGTTTAAAATTTTTTTATTAATGGAGGATTTTAAGATTGAATTTGAAATTTCGTAAAAAAATTAAATAAAAATATTTAAGACTCAGTTTTGTTATAATATTTTCACAAATTTTGAAATATAAAACAAAATTTTATTTCACAATTTTAAAAAAAAAAACGATATTGGGCATTCATTTAGAGCAAGTTTCGGAAATATCTAAAGATTCTAAGCAATAGATTGTACATATTAATTTCGAAATATTTTGTGTTTCTTTTTTTTCTTCTCAACCGGATCTTCCTTAAACCAATCCATAATATATTGCACACAGTTTTCGAAATAATGTGAACTAATTATATTTTTTGCATTCAAAACAAATTATGCACCAATAGCATATCACTTTTATAGATATATCTCAAGTTTTAGTTTTAGTCCAAAAAATCGAATTAATTATGATTAAACAATAAAAAGAAAAATATGCAAAATTTAGCAAGAAACATTAATAAATTTGTTAAAATATATTTATAACTTTAACAGCATACATATTAATCCGCAAAACTCACAGTATATATTGTAATATTGTATGGTATTTAAAGGTAAGCAAACAAGACTTTGGAACATAATTTTAATGGAATAAAATAGAAATAGAAATTACGAGACGAGATGGAAGGGGAACATATATTAAAAATCAA